GATCTATCACCTCTGTCGAGCCGTGTTTCGACTCTCTAATCTATCTGTCGAGTCGCGTTTCGATTTTATGATCTGTTTGATCTCTTCCGTCTCTTTGCATATCTTCTGAATCCGCTGCTTGTGATCAATTTCTGGTAAGCATCTCTCATCAGTTTTCCTACCGGTTTTTAGTTTTTCCGGCCATATGTAATATGGGTTGCCTGAATTTTTCTCTCTATGCCTTTCTCTCTCTTTCTCTACGCCTGTAAAACAACTATTTTTACTCTACATTGTTGCCTCGGTCGCGTCATTAAAACCACTGTATTTGTTTTGCACTGTCTTTGCTTTTGGCCGTCGCTTCCCTTTGTATCTTATGTCTCCTCAAGGGACTCTCTCTCTCTCTCTCTCCGCTATTTTGTTTTGAGTCTCCATTTTAGTTTTTGAGAGAGAAGAGCGACGGGCGGCGTAAAAGAGAAGTCCGGATGAGACTTGAGAGGTAGAAATGAGTGGCTCTTCTTTTAATTTTTAAATTTTTTTTGGGTCATTCTCTTATCTTTTGCTTTGTTTTTATGTATTTGTCTTCTCACTTCAAACCATGCAAAACCACTGTCTTCTTTTAATTTTTAAATTTTTTTTGGGTCATTCTCTTATTTTTTGCTTTGTTTTTATGTATTTGTCTTCTCACTTCAAACCATGCAAACCACTTTGTCTTCTTTTATTTCTTAAAATTTTTTTGGGTCATTCTCTCATCTTTTGCTTTGTTTTTATGTATTTGTCGTCTCACTTCAAACCATGCAAACCACTTTGTCTTCTTCCTTGAATCACTTGAGTCTTTTTTTGTCTTTTTGTCTTTTTTTCTTTTTCTTTTGATGTTTTGACAGACCGTCAAGTTGTTATGGGCCATTAAGTTGCGACATATTGATTTTTTTATCTGTTAAAAAAAAAAATCTCTTATAGATGGTCTTCGATCGATTAGTTTTTTTTATTATCTAGTCTATTGTTATGTTACTAATCATGTATGTTCCGGTATATGAGCTGCTAAATCTATCTCGGATCCATATCGAGTTCTATTAACTCTTCCAAGCAGCGTTTTAAAAATCGCCGAGTCGAACCGGACTCGCCCGATTCGACTCGGAATTCACGAAAAAGGGACCGGATCGGTTCAAAAACCGGGAATCGTTCGGTTCTAGAGAGAACCGGACGATTCCGCACAGTGACTCGCCGATTTACTGTGCGGAATCGGCGAGTCCGTGAAGAACACGGGTTGCA